ACCATCCTGACAACAGGTAGTGGTAATAGATATTCTCACCTATCGTGAACCAATTGAGTTTGGAACCGATAGTGGGGGCTGATTTATAATAAACAAGTGCTGCATCGTCTGCAAAGGGTACTCATGAGGGTAGGTCAATGGTAAGCATTGTATAACCTGGATTGAACAATAGTCGTAGGTTATAGGTGGTTGATATTGCATTATCTTCAATCATCATGGTGTCTATATCACAACTAGGGTTTGGAGGCCTGGGTTCGATTCTTGGGATGATTTTGACGTATGGCGAGGCAATTATGGTGTAGGCTATTATCTTAGGTTGTTCTTAACTCTTTTTCCAGTAGTTGTGATGAATAGTGAATGATGGTTGGGTACCATATTTCTCTACCCTGAGGGTTCATTGGTTTGGCAGTCTACTTGGATATTGACACTCATTCACCTAGGTTTAACGCCAACCTACACTGGTTTGAAATATAGCAAAGGAGTTAATAGTGGAATTAAACGTGTTATAAGACGTATCATTCTGTTAAAAGGTATGCATCCAAATATATTACCACTTGTGCGTGCCTAGTAAAAGTATCAAAAAAAATGAGAATTTTCCTAAAAAATAAGAAAAAAATGGAAAATCCATCCAAAACTCACTTCCGATTTCCAAAATAAGAATTTTCTAAAAAAACAAGAAATAGCAAATTTTCATTCCAAAAATCATCTCTGAATGACTTACCTTATTTCTGAAATGAGAATTTTCCTAAAAAAACAAAAAATGAAAAATGATAAAAATCTTCTAAGATGAAAATATTTTTAAAAAAATAGAAAAAGATAAAAAAGGAAAAAAAATTTTCAGATAAATTCGAAAGTTTATCAGTTTTATAATGTAATAGAAAATGTTGATTAATCCAATATTCATTAGCCAATTTGATGGTTTTGTATTGTCCAATTGAAATGATTCTTTTTATTATTCTTATTGAATGATTATCTTTCTAAAGGGATAATTTTTTGATCATTCAATAAGAATGATAATGTATTATTCTAATAAGATATTTTTATAAATTGTTTTTATTGAACGATAAATCTATCATTCCTTTAGAATGATTTTTTTAAATCATTCTTATTAAATAATGATGTATCATCCCTTTGGGACAATTTTTAATCGTTCTTATTGAACGATAGATTTATCGTCTCTTTGAGATGATTTTTTTAAATCATTCAATAAGAATGATAATGTATCATTCCAATAGGATGATTTTTTGATCATTCTTTTTGAACGATGATGTATCGTTCCAAAGGGATAATTTATAATCATTCTTATTGAAAGATAGATCTATCATCCCTTTGGGATGATTTTTTCAAATTGTTTTTCTTAAACGATAATGTATCATCCTAATGTGATGATTTTATAAATTGTTCTTATTAAACGATAGATCTATCATTCCAAAAGGACAATTTTTTTAAATTATTCTTATTGAACAATGATGTATCATCCCTTTAAGACAATTTTTCTTTAATTGTTCTTATTGAATAATAATGTATTGTCACTTTAGGATGATATTTTTAAATTGTGCTTATTGAGCAATAATGTATCATTCCTAAAGAAACAATTATTTTTATCATTTTTTAGAAATGATTTGTATCTTTTCGTAAGAACAATTTCTATTATTCCTTTGAGATGAAGTTTCCAATCAGACGATTTTTGTATTATCCAATTAGACTAATCAGAATTAAAATTTTGGCTTAACTCTAATCAACCATAAATCAGTTAAACTTAGTTTTTAATGGAGACTGAACTATAAAAACAAATCACAGAATGAGAAAACTTAATTAACAAGTTGAATCAAAGACCTCCTAATCAAATATTATCACCAGTTCAGACAGACTAATTTAGGTTGATTTTGACTGATTGATGATTATGTCTGATTGATAAGAGATTGATAGATGATTTATTACATGTCCAATTTTTTTGATTTCGACTAGTGAAACAAATATATAAATTATCTAACTCTTATATTGCTATTACAAAAGTTGAAACAATACTTTTATTATTTAAAAAAAATATTTAGAATAAATGTTGGTTGACAGGTCATAAAATTTTAAAGAGGTTTAGATAAGCACCTTTACTTAAAACAATCAGAAATGTTTTATTAAAATTATTAATAATCAACTATTTAAAATCATTACCAAATATGCTATTTTCAAAGATAATAACTTTATCAGATTACTAGGTATCTCAGTATAATAATAGTTGAAATTTATAATAATAATAAGGTTATTTAAGATTATTTGAGATTATTTCAAGGTTATTTCAAGATCTTTTGCTAACTTTAATTTAATGGAGACTCCTATTAAAATCTCAATATACTTCTTGAAAATATAAATAAGGAAATTTGGATTTTACTTTAGAATTTCTCAAAATCGTATGATTATTTTATCTCAAAATATATTAACACATATCAAATTACTAACTAAAGTAGTTAACTTATTAATCAATCTTTTTACTATCAGAAAAATGCTTTTTTTATTACATAAGAAATCTCTAATTATTATAATATTAGATTAGTATCAATTAAGAATAAGTGATCTTTTTATTGCTATAGTTAAGGTTGCTTGTCTAAATTCATTTTGGATTTGGCAAAATGGTTAAACCTTTCTTTAGTTTCGCTAAATTTTTACTAAGTGTTTGATATAGTTTCGCTATTTTTATAAGCTTTGATATAGTTTTACTTTTTTCAAATTTCGCAGATTTTTTAATAAGGTTTTAATATAATTTAACCAAGTTTTACTTTTATCATTTAGACGTCTGTTGATTTCATCCAGCAACCTTAGCTATAGTATATTTACTTGAATTCATTCTTATATGAAATAACTGATCTTAACAAAGGATACAAAATTAAATATAGATAAATCTCTAAACTTATAAATGTAACAATTAAATATTTATTACTTTATATTTATGAATATATTTAATTAGGTTATTAGTAACTAACAGAACTTTAAATGTATTTTAGTTATAACTATAGAATTCTATGATTTATCAAATCAGCTTTTAACAAAAATAATTCAAATTCCTTATTACTAAAGGTTTCATATACTCTAATATTAATCTTAAGTTAACTTTTCAATTATAAATTTCATTTTAGAATCTAAGATTAATAATAAGTAATTATCCTCATTCATCAAAAATTAAATTAAACAAAATATTCACTAATTCATTAATTTCATGTATTTATAAACAAAAATATAGAAATTAATTGATAAATTCTTGTTAAATTATATTCATTAATTGAATATTAAACTAATTGATAACTAATAGTTAATTAAATCTGATTCATTAATATTAAATATATAATTTCAAATTTTTAAAACTAAGTATAAAATCAGATTAAATACTGGTTTTTGTAATTCTACCTAATAATTTTCTATCAAGTGTTAACTGATTCATACTTAATTGTAATATTTACTGATTTTTATCTATTGATCAAAAAAATAACCAATTGAAAAAGTATCTGATTTATTAAAGTTTGGCCTATATACATCTAAAATTAATTAAATTTTATTGCGTTTAAAAAAATCTATTAAAAGTTTAGACAAAAATATTTATTTATAAACAAATAGTTTAATCTTAAATATTTTGAAATTTAAAATTGACTAAAATAGTTAAAGAGATTTCTTTAATTATAATATATATAATTAAGATTACTAGATAAGCTAAAGGGTTTTTTCACTTACCAAAATACTGAAATATTGAAACTTTATTGAAATTATATTAAAATCTTATAATTACTTATGGTAAGATGCTGAAATAACGAAACTATTATATAAATGCTGAAACTGAAAAATATGATAAAACTATATTAATTAATATTAAAATTTTGCTAAAATTAATCATAGAATTTTAAAGAGATTTAGGCAAACATCCATATATGTGATATTTATTATATCATTTTTTTTAAGAAGGGTTGTTTATTATAGATAAACAATTAGATTTTTTTTGCCAATTCTTAATTTTTTCATTATATTTGAAAATAGCATTACTAATGTTTATTACTTATATTTTAACATTATTATAATTAAATAAATTAAGATTATTTATATAGTATTATGATATTCTAATTTTAAAACCATTAAAGATTAAATAAATAAACTATTAAGGAAGTTTATTATTAAAAAATTAATAAAGAAATATTAAAAATGATAATAAAAATCAACTATTACTGAATAATAAAAATAATAAAAAAAGATGCCAATATTTTTCATCATCATCGATTTTGTTTAAATAAGCTTTCTTTTTAAGTGAATAATATTGTAAGTACAAAAGAATTTAAGGAACGAAAATATAATAATAACACGAGAGAGGAAACCGTTATTAAACAATTTTTTTTTCCTTAATTTTATTTCATTTAAATAAATTTTTTTTGCTTTTACTTATTTAAAAATATTTTTATAAAAATGACAAATTTTTTACGGCAGTTATATTTATTGATAAAGTTTTCTTTCTCGACAAAAAAAAATGATTTCTCTCACCTCAACTAGTTAAAATTAAGAGTAAATGAATTTTTTCTATCAAATGAACACGATTAATCTCTTTTTAAAATAATTATATAATAGTAATAATATAATATAAAATATATAAAGTAATAATCAGACGATTCCCGTTATTTTGTCCCCAAAGTTCGGAAATCACGTTTTCAAATGGAGCGCACGTGATAAAAGCCAAATCACACTAAACTAAACACGGAAAGCTTATTTTGTGCTTTGGAAATTATATTTACAGAAACTGCCAAGAAAAGGATGAAAATCAAGGAGTATGCTGGTAAATTTTAAATTATTATCTTATTTTATTAACAAATAATTTCTTTTTTTCTTTTTTACAATGTAAATTTTTTGTTTTGAATTGTCCTGCATTAATATCTAATTTCTTTTTCTATGTTGTTTTCAAAATACTAACATCTCCTTCGCTTAGTAAGTCGCGTTTTGGATCCGAGCTTCGACGAATCTCAAGTGGGAACGGATACTAGAAATTACAAGTATATAATAATAAAAAGACGTTAGACAAAAAAATTCCTTAATTGTAGGAACAAACCAGGAAAAAGTTTTCTTTGTTAACCTCATCATCCTCATCATCGGTTTGGCCGGGGATTCTAAACCCTAAATTGTGCATTCCTTCCGTAATTTCTTCATCAGAGATACCACTTCCTTTAATTCTAGGAGATCCGGGTGCCGATAAGGGCTTTGGAATTTTAACTTTTCTGTGACTTTCAATTTCGGATCCAACAAATGAATCGGGGTAAGCTCTATGTAAAGCCAATTTTCTTGCTCTGACGTACTCCATGCCCATAATTTTCCAATCCAATAGATCTGATAACCTTTCGGTTCTATTACGCTGATTAATCCTTTGACGCCGAGATTTTTGACAAAACTGTAACATGTGATCGGCTAATTGATTTATTGATTCGTCAGCTGATTTCATACGACGATCCACAACATAGATACCGTAATCTTTTTCGAAAAAAAAATTTGAAATTTTTAAATTCGATCCAAGTTAAAAAAAAAAAAAATCTATTTGAAAAGAATTTAAAAAATTTAAATTTACCAGATGAAGTTTCAAGTATCTCCTCCATGAAGCCACCAAATCCTGAAAGGTTTGTCGTAATCGAAGGTACTCCCATAACAGTGCATTCCGCGGGCGTGTAACCCCAGGGTTCATAATAACTTGGGAAGACACCAAGATGACATCCACGAACAAAATCTTCGTAATCCAATCCGATTAATGGATTATTGGAACTCATAAATTCCGGATGAAATATGACCTTCACTCGATCATCTGGACCGTTTAGTAGTCGCACATTACGAATAGCGTTCAAAATGGGATCCGATGAATCGTCTACCATATTGTGTGTCACTATCGGTGGCCATCCTCCGCGTTTTAGGGCGATGACACGTCGCTTCAAGAGCACTCTATCCTCATTAGTTAGCAATTCGTTCTGTTCCATCACCGCGCTCACAATATCACCACCGCTGCGTGAAAAAATAAATCGTAGTTAGTTGACGCCGCAACAAATGCAAATCAAATCATGAGAACGATCTAAATAAATAAACCCTTACCCCGTGTATCGAGCGGCCTTTTCAAATATTCTCTGCCCAATCTTTTCCGTGATATCTTTCACGGTCTCTTTTAACTGTTTTGTGACGGCTTGACCTTTCAAGGCTTCTACCGCAAAAGACTGTGTAGCAGCGGGCATGATTATGAATGCCACCACAGTCATGGGCGAGTTGCAGGCTTTTAGACGACTATTTAAACCTAAGTGAAAGGAGAGGAAGAAGTTGAAATGACTACTACATTGAGATGGATTGTATGTATCAAAGCTTTAAATCACACGAGTTGAAAAAAATCACTTACGCGCCAATGACTCGATGAACATATCGACACCTTTATTTCTGAATTCGTAACGACCGGCTGTAAAGAAGTATAATGTATTGTCCAGATCGAAATCGAAATGCCCATAAAAATGTCCTCGAACAAAATTATGAATCTTCTCTTTATTTCTCGCATGTAAATTCTGGAATTCATGCATCGCCGAAAACTTGACAGCATTTAACCCATTTGGAAGAACACCGTCTACGATAAATTAACAAATAAATATTAAAAAAAAAATAAAAAAAAATAAAAAAAAATGGAGACGAATATCGTAAAGGAGTGTAAACCCACCTGGTTTTCTCTGTAATAAGTGTTCAGCCTCGTAAGCGGTTATTTGGCTGACGGTAGTGAACACGTCAGAGCAGTGAGCTGCGGCGCGTTCGATGCAATACCGATGATATATCCCACGTTTCCCAGCTTCTTCATCGACAACAAAATTTTGAATGTTGTTGTAAAAATCCACAGAACCGGCACATAAATAACGACCGAGTAAAGTCGCATGGGTGGTAAATATGGTTGTCAAATCTACGTGCCGTTTTCTTAAAAGGGGAATTCCAACACCGGCCAACCACTCGTGAAAATGCGCTATCACAGCTTTACTTTTTTCACGGGCGACAAACTAATTATCATATTTTTTTTTTTTAAAATAAAAAATTCAAAAAAGATTAGCAAGTGGTCGATCATCCTCGGCAAAAGATTTGTTTTGCATGAAAATGCACGTGCGGGAACTTTTATGTTTGGTAACACAACGCATCAAGGGGCAAACCTTGATATATCGTATGATCATACTTACGTCACCCAAGAACCAAGCAACCAAGTAACCAAACAATATAGCATCGTTGGTCTCTTGATCATTAGGGGGCGAAGGAATACCGGCCACCTTCCATATGTCAGCTTTCCAATCGTCCAACCTTGATGAAATTGAACCAGTATCCAAGAGGAGGACTTGAGGGGCACCTTCGATTAACCATCTTCCATACAACCATCGAATTCCTTGACGGGACATTTCTTCAAGGATATCCTTCATAAATGGATTGGTCACCTCTTCAGGTTCAACTTCAGCGGCAGCAGTTTTGTAGAACAATGGACCAATGAGAGTGTACCGTTCACCGAATTCATGGACTGTCACTGGTGCCTTGGATCTTATCACAGTATAAATTCCGCCAACTATCGAGAAAAAATAATTTTAGAAAAGTTCTTTGGACAATTTTTTTATTGTTTATTATACATCTATATATACTATAATTCAAAACATTGTATAATTTTATTCATTCTCTTACGTACCTTTATTCGCAACTTCCCAAGCAATTTCGAACAACATAGGATTACGAACATCACGATGAACCATTTTTTATATTTCTTCGTCGTCAAAAAGAAGAAAAAAAGAAAAAAAGAAAAAAAAATATTTGAGCGGGGGTGGTGATGAAAGTTTTTAGTTGGTTTTATATATTTTTATACTCATGAGATAATGGTTAGAATGATGGCGTGGTTCATTTAAAGTCCATGGTTAGATTGTAAATTTAAAATTTAAATCACGTCAATATATATATATATATATTGATCGATATTAGTGTAATGAGGACTATATTAAAATGCAAGCCATTTTACCAAAATTAGGATGAAGTGTAAAGGGCACATGCAAAGCATACCGCCACCAAAAATGATTTTTTCTTTTTACTTATTAAATTAAAAAAAAAACTTTACGCAGTATAACCCGTTATCGGTTGAAATCAATTTTTTCGGATCGGATAAGCAAAAGAAAGGGTATTCGTGGGAAATGTACGATCACATAAAAAGTAAAAAGGCACATTCAGATGAGCAAAGCATGACATCATGACTATCAATGACTATCCTATACATTTTAATTGTCTAAATTAGTCGACCTTTTAATTTTTTTTAATCTGGATTTTGAGATATACATCTTAAAAGATAATGGAGTATTCCATAAATGGTAATAATTGATAATTGAATAAACTAATCGCTTAAATGTAAAATTACAATCTAATGGTTTACGAGACATCGTATGTTCTTAATCAAGAATCTTAAAAATCTTGGATTATTTTTTTTTTGCTTATGCTTATGCTTATGATTATGCTTATTATGAGGAGTTATTCGAATTAAGACCCACAAACTCATAAGTTCCCGGGTATATTTCTGCCTGTAGAATGCCTGCCAAGGCGACGAGCATACATAATGGAGTGGTGATATTTGTGAGAAAGAAAAACGATTTGCTGATATTTGGTTGACTAAATAATCTATAATGAAGAAAGGCAAGCATAATTAAAGATACACCATAACATAGGAACGTATAAATACATGTGAAATTTAATATTCTCATCTAGCGAAATAGAGATAGGTATTAGAGGAAGATAATCATGAAGAATCATGAAGAAGATGATGATGGTTGATCTTTACCTTTCTTATGTTTTGAATTATCCTTAAATTTTGCCATTCGTTTTTTGTTAACTTTCTACTACTATTTCCTTCCGAATTAAACGTTTCGCTCCTCACGTATTCACCATTACCACCATTACCATTGTATTCATCCAACTTGATGCTATCCTTACCTGTAATATTTTCTTCATCATTACCACCGGCCAACGTAAAACTATTTTTGGTTAACTCGACCAAAATTTTGCCATAATAAGCTGCGGTCATCACAAAACATAAATGTACCAAACCGTAACCAGCCCAATGAAAACCAAATATCAAACAAAGGAATTTTGATGGGGTATGCGGTGGTATGTGAAGTCTTGCTATACCTGTCAATATCGCAAAGGTTTGAGAGTACAATATATGTATGAAGGAAAACTTCCAATAAATACTTGTGATTTGTGATTCTTTGAGCAAAAAGATTGTGGGCGTGTTTTGATTGGAGAATCTGTAAAATGACATTTTTGGTAGGGTTCTGAATATTCCCGTCAAATACGTGGCTATCGTTAAATCACCCGGAAACCAACTAAAGTCATAAATAACCTCTCTCAATATTGGATTATTCGAAAACCAATCCATCTGTTGAACAATATTCGTAAATGTACGTGCGGCGCCGAATATGATGATTCCCAATAAGTAACCTTCTAAAGGTGAAAAACATCGTTCCTTCCAAATTTGACCCTTACGCACTATAATTCTAAATGCTAGTAACGCTGCCGCACCAACCGTTACTATTAAATAAAGTATGTCGGAGCATATGTAAAACGCTTGTAATGCTGAATCATAGTTACAATTCGTTATTGAATATCCCCATCTGTAATATCGAAAAAGTTAAAAAAAAATGAATAAATAATTAACTCAAAATATATCTACAAATATATATATTATATATTTATTTATTTATTTATTTATTTTGCTTACTCGCACTCTGGTAGATTTATATTATCAGACATAGATTTTTATTTTTTTTTTATTTTTTTTTTAATTCATTAAATTTTTTTTTTTCTTTTCCAAATTTTATGAATAAAGGTTTTTTTTTTTTGAGTTTACTTTCCTTTATATATAAATAGGTTTGTTTTTTTTTCTTTTCGTTTGATTAATTGACACCATTTTATGTAATAGCCTGAAATTTATATGGAATTTGCCGCAGCGTACAGAATAAATTAAAGCACCCATTATAGCATAGCATATATTGTTATTGTGTTCACGGCATTTTTTGGATCTCGTTTTTTAAATCATATCATGCTTCCTATGGAATGGGATTCCTAAAAAATTTGCTTTAATTGGAATTTTGTAATCGACATGTTTGATTGGTAAAATGGTTAAATAGAAGTTTCATACCGATAATTTTTGGAGATTTAATTTTCGGTAATGTCCGACCAAACAAAAAAAAAAATTGATGATCTACCATGCATGATGTTTCTTTTAATGATTACCATAAATGGGTAAAAAGCGGTTTTCCCGCTACATTCCGACCCGCCTAAGGCTTTAGCGGGATTTTAATTCCGTATTTATTTGTAATCGAACAATTTGGGTATTTTGGATCTCGGGCCGCTTGCTTTACGGATGAAAAACCGAATCTATGTCATTAGATTAAAATTTTCTTTATACCATTATTATTATTGTTGTTGTTGTTGTTGTTTTTGTTGTTTTTGTTTTTGTTGTTGTGTTGTTTCTTGAAAGGTGTTTGTTCCGGTTATGTTTATTTATAATTTGATAAATGAATATTCAATTTTTAAATTTTATTTATTTATTTTCTCATAGATTGAAGGAATTTAGAAGTTTAGAATCTGTTCATATGGTTTACACAGGAAGTTTTTTTATGATAATGTATTACAAAGGTTATTTAGTGAAAAATATTTTTAATTAAAAATAAACAAACTGAACTTATGATCAAAATAAAAGAAATGATTGGTTTATTTATGATTTCACGGGCTTAATCTAAATCATTGCAATCTGTTGCCATTTAAAGTAATATTACAAGAACAAGACACCGTACCGGGTTGAACATTTTTATCATGTCTTACCCTCATCTAAACATAATTTGTCTCAAAAATTTTTATATCTTTGTTAATAATTCAGTAATTAATTTAAAATTGGATCGTAATTTCATACAATGCATTCATTTCATGATTTGGTAGTTGATTAAATTAATCAAAACAAATAATAAACAAATAAATCGGGCTATCATTAAAGAGTAATGTTCTCATTTCAAGGGTTCCTTTTTTTTATGAGAAGTCTTTCTTTTGAATCATGGTTCTTAATCAATCATTATGATTTTGAAATCAATTCCAAAATAAATGTTTTGGCCGTATCCTCTTTACCAAAGGATATCGATGTTGAAAGCGAGTGAAAATTTTTGTCATCAAATAGAACAACAAAACAAATAAACCAGTGTCAATATTTTTGGATGTTGTGTCGTTGAACTTATTAGGTTAATTAGGTTGAAATTCTGCAAATAATCAACATCACCTATAACAACCCAGATTTCCGCAACGCGTGAATCGTTGTTAACATGTATTTGTGTTTCCACTTTTAATGAGATTTTCTAAATATTAAGCACGAAAGTGTTCAAATCTCTCAAGGCAACCGATCGGTCACGCTTAAAAGTTACATTGAAAATCTTTGTCCGTACCAATTAATTCTTTCGAGTAATTTGGTGAGATGATATACCATACATAATTGACTCAAAATATGTTATTTATCAAGTATTGGACGAGGGAACCGGAGATCCTCCGATAAAAGTGAAAAAAAACTTACATCCGAAGTTTTCTTATCGCATCATTCAAATAAGCCCTAAAAAGGAAAAACACTTCAATAAATGGAAATGTTTACGCCTTATTAGAAACTGTAATCGGAAAGATTCCCCTGTCAAAAAAAAAAAAATTTAGATTTATACCAAAAATGTTGGGAACATCAAAAAGTGGCGATATTCTGATAATATTTTATGCATCTATCTGAAAAATCCTCGTAATAATTTTTTGATTCCTTTGAACATTTCAATAAATGGACTAGTGACATTTGATAAATCAATTTGAAAATTCGGCTTAAAAAATTCTTTATTATTCTGAGTTAGAATGTGGCTTATTACTACACGTTTTTGGTCTTATAAAATCTTAATTTTTGTTTGTATTGATTATATAATATTGATAATTAAGAGAGTTTTTTTTTTTCACCTCACCTAATAAATATATTAATGTTATGAATGAGAAGGGATACTATATATAGATATTTGTTTTTTTATATTCTTTTTTCCTTTTTTTTTTTTTTTTTTTTTTTTTTTTACAAATTAAATATTAAAATTAAAATAATGAAATAATGAAGAAATATTATAATGTAATAAATATTCAAGTTTATAATTGATTTAATGTTCTGGCTTTGGAACTCCATTCATCTTTGATTGATCTTTTCTTATGAATTCTCCTTTTACATTTCGTTTTAACTAAGAACCAAGTATTATGCAATTTATACCGTATTTTTGAACCTAAAGTGCTCAGGGAACCAAAACATCCATTGGTAAATTCATCTTTTTCTCCATAAACTTCTGAACGGCGGCGGTTAAAGAATTTATTGGACCTCGAATTCGAAAATATCGATGAGAATGATGAGAAAGTATTTGATTTTGACATGTTATTTTTGTTGATCGGTTTTGAAAACGAATTTTCGTCTTCTTCTTGAGGAATGTGAAATGTTGTTGATTGACACTTTGGTGATTCATGAAAAACACTTTTGAATGGGAATGGGTTGGAAAATGAAGTTTTGAGTTTTGGTCGATATAATTGTTGTGAATGTTGAACCTTGTTGATTGTTGCTGACATTTTTTTTTTATTTTTTAAAAAAGAAAGGGATTTTAATTTGAAGAAAAATTTTAAATGAAATAAAAAAAAAAAAGTTGTTATTTATCAAATCAATCAAGGACATGTATTTATATTGAATTCAAAACTACGGGATTTAATGACGTAATATTATCGAAATTCTCATCAGAATGTTCACTTTAATGAAAGGGGAACTGCACATCACTGTTGACGCTTCTTTCAAGAAACGAAGTATTGTAAATTACACAAAAAAAAAAAAAATAAATAAATAAAAGTCTTTTGTTGATGATCGTATGTTTCGCAGAGACTATAAATAGAGGATAGACCTATTATCCTGATTTTGTTCGGGTTTGTAAATCAAAATTAAAAGGGGTGTGTTAATTAATTCTTTACAAATCTCCGTTTTAAATCAGTAATGAAAGTATGGCGTAGTTTAATGATCGCAATTGTTACAAAAGAGGGATCTATCCTTTGCTTTTGCCATAAATTTCAATTAATGGGTTTCCATGGGATCTTTTGATTCTTTCTTGATTTGGTTTAAGTTCAAAATTATTCGGACCTCTCCCTTTGGTCACAAGTTTCATTTTGTCATTGCAAGTTTCCTTGAGATGATAAACAAATAATCACCTCGCAATTTGTCAATCTCCCTTTACCCTAACCGTACAAATATCAAATTTTCCGAGTGACCGACATTGGAATCTTTCGTTGGACCGCAGTAACGGAGATGGGTACCCAATCAGTCGAAGCATGTAACGAATAAAGTAATTAATTCATGAAATAAGGCTAAATTTAGTAATCATTTCAATGAGATTTCAATCGAAAAAACCAAATGTTTCATTATTTCGGATAATTTAAATGAAAAATGATTTACAACAGATTTTCCCCCTTACATAATGGGTGTTTGAAAACTGACACCATTGCATTAATGTTTTACTCAATTTGTTATTTTTTATATATATAAGGACATTGAATTTGCTTTCCCTTTTATTTATCAAAATAAAAATACAATAAAATAAAAAATAAACGTTAATAAATCGATATCGCTTTTTTATTGGTGCATTCACTTTTTAAATCAAAAATGTTTATACTACTTTCGATTCTTGCCGGGTGTGGCATCCTTGCTATTGTAATTGGCGGTATAAGGATCGCTGCTGGAGCTTTCGAACGTAAACGATGCTAATACTTTGGTACGGTATCCCTTTCAAACCATTTTTACAAAAAGAAAAAAGAAAATTCCTTTCTAATATCTTCACATTCTTCAGAACTTTCCATATGAATTATCGCTTGGGCTTTTATTCCTTCAAAAAAAAAAAAATTTCTGCATCTATTTTCATTTATTATTCATGACACGGTTAGAATCTCACTTGTATATAGTCATTTTTATAAAAAAATTTAGTTAAAAACCTTCATAATTTAATTCTTTATAAATAATACCGATAACTTTTTCTATCAAATAGAATAGAAAGTTATTCAACTAATATATGAATAAAAAATAGCATGTGTTTATTTTATTTTTAAAAAAAAAATCTTCCTTATACCGGTATGCACGCCAAAATATCATCTGTATATTACATGTCGAAATCGGACTTTTCTTTCCGACAATCGTTGGGTTTAAATATCGATATACTGTAAACCAAAAAAAAATTTATTTAGATAAGCCAATTAAATTTTTGATACCATCCTGCCTGGCATATGGATGTCACGCGCCATAGCCTTTTTTTTTTAATAAATAAATAAAAAATGAAAACATGTAACAGCCAAATATTTCATCGCATGCATCAAGAAATAAAAAAACGCTATCTCAACAGAATATTCACCCATGGGATTCTCTACGTGAATAAGGAAAGTGGACTTTATAAACAATTAAATATTAAAATGTTACATGTGAAGCAGCGAAACAATACATAAATACAATTTGTATCTTAATAAAACTTTAGGAATTTTTATCTATAATAATAGATTTCTTTCTCAAATTTAAAGTTTTTATCTTTCACATATGGGTGAGTGCTGCGAAAAGGACCAAATTGTAAAAAAAATTTATAAAACGTCAATTTACCAAGAGTCATTCAATATATAAATAAATCATATTACCTCAACATGATAGTGCCAGCAAATTATGAGGTCATTTGAGATCATTTTCAAGGTTTTGTCTGCAAACATATATTCTTTTCCTTATAAAAAATCCCTGATTATGTCCGTATGATTATCAAGAGACGTAAGAACTTGTATGAAATCTCTGTTGTATTAACGTTCTTAATATCTTGGCTACTTTTTTCCCATTAATTGTCCTCCTACAAAAACTGAATGTGCTAAAGGATAGCAGGTTTCTTTCATTTTGGTGAATCTAAAATGCAAAATTGTAAATTGTGAACATGAACGTGAGCGTGAGCGTAAGTAGACAAGTACTTCTAAGAATCCATTTCTATGTTTGTTATGAAGGGAGGGTACATAACCGAATCCTCCTCCAGAATTGATTGACCTTCAAACATAGAAACTTCTTTTTCATATAGATATGCAGACATAGATGCATAACATAAAACATTTCATAACTTACTTAATTTCACTAATCTTGGACTTTAAAAAATATTTAGATATCATTTAGTTTATTAGGTATTATATGAGCGTCCCCCTAGTTCAGACTATTTAAAATAGACCCCAGGGTTCAAGCAGATTAACCTTTCTTTTTTTAGTAAAAAAATTAGTTACCAAGATTGGTATCTTTTAAGATGATAAATGTGTGTAACATTCATTCGTCTTAGATTTTACGCAAAAAAACTTTTGATTTTGTAATCAATCAATACTTTTAACTTTTTAGAATTAAATAAAAAAATCTTTATTAATAATCTTTTATGATACTTTACAATTAGAATATATCGGTTGATAAACTTGGAATAATTACAGAATTTGTTAGAGTACAAGCCTGATTCTCATTCAATTGGAAATTTGTAGGGCAAAATCTAATAAGTATATGGAATGTAAGAAATCGAATGAAAGAGGCATATACCAAAAAAGGTTTTGATTCAAAAGTTGCTGACAAGAGTATGAATAATAAATGCAGAATATTAATTATATTTTCGAATGAAACTATCGTAAAATATTTATGTCAAGAATTTACAATGATATTCTTTCGCTTGCCAAAAATTGTCTTGAGGCTATGTAAGGTATTATTTATACACAATACACATTTACATAAATAAAATTCTTTTTCCATTTTTTATTGAAAGAATGGTTTGTTTTATTATAGAATAATTTGGATTTTATAAATTGTTTAATTCCTAACATTTATTTTTTTTATTTTACGAATTAACAGTTCCAATATTTATTTATAATTTTTAACGTAATTTAGATTTTTTAATACCGTACATAAAGAATAAAGCCTTTTTGTTGGAGTTTCTTAAAATGTCTCAAAATTGAATACCATTCAATATACGAGGTCACAAACGATATTCGTACAAAGAAAAGTCTATATTTATATATGAAATCTTGTCAAAAATTTTATGCGTATTCAGTCAGAAACGCTATTTTTTTTTCAGCAAACGTGCATTTATATCATTAAAGAGGCAAAAAAATGAAAACCTAGTGGTGGATCGAAAAGATTTATCGGAGTAAATAAAAAAGCTTAATAACTTGCAAAAGTGCTACGTCTTGTCACCGGCACAGCCTTCCTTATGATGAAAAAAGGATTAAAATGTTCGTGCTTATCAAATTTATCAAACCTTTATAAAGTTTATCAATTAGTCTCAAACATATTAATTTGTCATCTAGGAAAAGTCAATCGTTTAAACGATGTGACAAAATATGAAAAATGAGTTGTTCATTAAAAGCTAATTATATAATTGTTTATGAAGAGGATATGGACGTCATCCATCCATTTGCGAAAGAAATAATAATTACATCTACATTTTTACAAAAAGCATTAATGAAATGAAGCTTTTATTATGAATAATGTCTTAATTTTAAGAAAATTGTAGAATACTTATTTTTACTGCGGAATTTAAGTTTGCAAGTTAACGATATTTTAGGAAACGAATGCTCAGTAATATGAAAGGGTGTGAGTAAGGTTTCAAAAAGTCTTGATCGGTTCATTAATACACGATATAATAACCATAGTAAAAAAATATCTTTTCAAAAAAAAATTTATTATTTTTTTAATATGAAATACGAGACATATCGACACACTGGCTATATTTTTCCTGATCAGCATAGATGCTAATCATTTTTATTGGTTGATAAAATCACAATGATTTCTTATTGTGATTTCACTAAATAAAATTTAATAAAATTATTTTTATTATTTTTACAAAAATATCAAAAATTATGTATTTATTAAACCACTTATATTGTAATTATATCTTATCTGCAATAATAAATCATTATGCACTTTCAAAAAAAATTTGATCTATATTAAAATTGTTCTCAGTTTAATATCATTCAATTTCTTCATACTTTTATCTTTGGTTATCCTACCAGATGATTTAAGAGTTTTTTTTTGAAAAAAAATGTTATAATTGCTTTCAATTCTGCTTACAAGTAAATCAGTATAATACCAATATTAACTTTGTAATTTAAATAAATTGTTGCCACCGATATCAATATTATAATCTTCTTCATCAGATTCCTCGAGCCTTTTCATTCGGATCTTCAGGTCAAACCATCAATTCAACCGGTTCTGATGATTACTACCAAATATGTACAATTTAATAAAATCCATATGAATGTCTCGTGGTTGTAAAAGTATTCTTTTGACAACTCCGATTTTTCTTTTGTAATATTTCATATTGAACATATAAATTTTTTGAAGAATCATCATAAGTTGCTTTTTCTATTTGTTAATTTTTTATAGGTAAATATCGACAACTTATGATTGAATCAACCTAAAATATAATAAACTAATAAATATTACTATACCTTAATTTTTCCACACTGCTGTAATAAATAAATCGATCGCTCTACCATAAGACCCAATGCACTCTGGAATAAGACATTTTTAGTTAAACGATTTA